TCATTGGACTTGCAGGGGATGGTAATAAATGAAGTCAAGCAAGGTCGTGCGGAGGTTCCAATGAAGTCAACACGTCGATCCGATTTTGGCGCGAGAAAAACCGAGGAAAACAAACATCCACCCTAAGGATCCACACCCTCAAAAACGAGGGTTTGGAGGGTACAAACCCTTGTTATAGAGGGTTCAACCCCTTCTAAAGAGGGTCCAAGGATCCTTAGGGCAGAACACAACATGTCATGTGTTTCAGTACTACGAAGTGACCCAACCTCCCAACACACAAGTGTTCAAAGTTCCGCTCCAAACTACCCTCCTGCGCTGTTGAAGCGGGGATCTTCTGCAAGTCCTCCACCAGCTGTGCCACGAAGCTTTTACCGCCCGGACGTTGAACCACCTCCTCTTCCTCCTCGTCGGAGTCGTCGTCCTCTTCCTCGTCGCTCTCCTCAGATGCCCAGAAGGGAGACCGTGCAGCATGTCACGAAAGAAAAACGAAAGACCCTTACGCGAGGCACAAAGCCACTTACAAGTCTTGAATCGCCTTAATTATATGCAAAAATAGACCCGGTCGGGGGTGTTTCACCAATCCCGATCGCTTTGGTTCGGGACCGGGAAAGGGCTGTTTTCACGGAGCGTCTGGGCATGTTGTTTCCCCTACACCTCCAAGTCTATACCTCCTCAGGTTCGGTATGACTGGACCCTCCTGGCACCCAGCCCAAAACCCCGAACCTCAGGTTCGGTACGACTGGAGGCCCTATACCAAGGCCCCTATACCAGGGGTGGTTAAGGGACATCCCTTAACCTCGCCATAATTGGACACCCCTCCGGTGACTTCACTCCCACACGGCCCGACGTCCCGTTCCGACGGCACTCTCGTGCCGTCGGGGTGAAGCCGATCGGAGCGGCCCGGCGACCGGTCACGCGGCGACCGTCGCGGAGAAGAAGGTATTGGCCCCCAAGGCGCCACCCGTGGCCCCAAGGCGAAACAAGCCCGGCTTCATCACTGATATGCCCGAATTCGCCTTCAAAGATACAAAGAACGGTTCAGCTGGTGGTGTAGTGTAAAAATCCTTAGTAAAACAAGGGTTCTTTGGTAAAGAACATAAAAATTGTTGTTTGAAACCTAGCGTATGCTAACTGGCCTAACTACGACCACAAGTTGGCGTTGAACTACTTATAACGTGTTCAAAAAACATATTGAGTTTATCTGCTGTTGTAACTACCCCAACTACGACGTCAACTTTAGCAGCTTATGCACCTGATAACATGCGAAGTCGCGTGCTGGATGGTGCTGGCCTGGAGAAGACACTTCTTCCCCAACCTGCTGGGGAGAATACTTCAAGAACCCTAAAGTTTACGCTTCTTACTCTGTTCCAACATGACACTTGCGGTCTACAGCGGATCGGATTAACATGTCCATTTTGCGTGGCAGGTACAGCACGGTCAGATTTCCACACCCGTTTAAATTTATAATATCTATAAGGCTTTCAGGTGTGGAAATCTGACCGCAACTGAGGTGTCGACATGTTGCACGTAGGATTCTAAGGGGAAAGGGTTTGTGATGTTTTAGAAGTCAAGAAGCGCAACTTTTGGCACCCCAGTGCGTTATTACTAGGTATTAGCCTTGTGTTTACAACTAATCTTGAGAAATGTTGTGAGGTTCGACATTAACGTTGTCCTGTTATAAAGT